GTTCTTGAGACAAATGCCAAGAAGTGGGATTGCTGAGTCAGATATGAGTTCTATTCTTAATTTTTTAAGATGCCTCCATAGCATTTTCCATAGAGGCAGAGAAACAAAGAAAAAAATTTCCCTCAGAATGTACAAAACACTTAATACACAAATAGCTTCTGCTGACCTACTTCCTTTAAAATGGCACATATTACTATCATGGATAGGCAAATATGACTTTTTTTAGTTTTTCTGGGTGGTATTGAAGTGTTCTTATGTCTCATGATCACCAAAATGCATCTATGTCTAGATTTTGATACTAACTTCTGCCAGACATGGTAGCAATTAATGTGTAGAGTCTATAACAACTTGAGTCATGGAACAGCATGTATTGTGGGTGTAGGCAGCTCTTTTGTGAAACATACGTAGAGTATAATTAACATTGGATTTGGTTGCTGAATTTTCTTTGCCCATGAAATTTAAATATTTTACTTAAAAGTAAAAAATACCCCCTTACAAGGTTAAAAATACCTCTTTTGGAGCATTAAAAAATATATAAGCATCTAGTGAGATAGTACAACCTTGCATGCTCCTGACCCAGTTTGATCCCCAGCATCCTATATAGTCTCTGAGTACCACCAGCAGTGATCTCTGAACACAACCAGTTGTGCCTCACCACAACAAAAAATTAAAAATTTAATAATAAAATGGGCTGGAGCGATAGCACAGCGGGTAGGGCGTTCGCCTTATAAGCGGCCAACATGGCTGACCCGAGTTCGATTCCTCCGCCCCTCTCGGAGAGCCCGGCAAGCTACCGAGAGTATTCGATATGCCAGACACAGTAACAACAAAGTCTCCAATGGAGACGTTACTGGGCCCACTCGAGCTAGTAATAAAATCAAATATATATATATATATATATAAACAGAAATCTTGTATTTGAGGGTTGGTGATTTTTACCAATTGGACCCAGATCCAGCACCAGATCAAACTGACCTGGCTATTCCTTTCTATTTCCCACAAATGTTAGCCACCATCCTGACGTCTAACACCATAAATTAGTTTGGTGTTTTGAACTTTATATAAATGAAAAGAAAGCATTAAATTTTATATTTGTAGCTTTGTGCATTTCATGATAATATTGTGAGATTCATTTACTTGTGTTGTTTTAAATAATGTTTTATGAATATATCAGACATACCACTGTTGATTCATTCAACTACTTATGGACATTTCAGCTGTTCCCTTTCTGGGCTATTATGCATAATGCTATATTAAATTATCTTGTACATGTTTTTGGTTAACATGTATATTTGGCCAAGGGTAAATGTATACTTATATCAGTTATCTATTATTGCATTGCATAATTTCTCAAAACAAAGTGCTCAAAACAAAGCAAACATTTATAAATCAGAGTTTAATGAACAGGGAATTTGGTGCAACTTGCAAAGGTCATTCTGACTTTAAGTCTCTCTAAGAGTGCTCTCATATGAAGGCTAGACTGGGTCAGTGTATATGCTTTCAAGGTATCTCCCTGGCACAGCTGCCATACTATTGCTGTCTATTGGTGAGCAGAGGCAGCTATCCTGTTGTGGATTTTCCTTATGACTGACAAAGTGGTAAAAGAGAGTGCCAAGTGTGAGTACATTATTTTGTTGATTTAGCTTAGAGATCACATAGCATCACCTCTGCTTCATCTTATTAACTGAGTTATTAATCAACCCATAATCAAGACTTTATCTTTAGATGAGAGTAATCATGAAGCCTGTATGAATGTATTTTAAAAACAATGACTTCACAATATTTTAAATCTTGTAATTAACCCAATATAGGAATCTGAAAATAAGATAATAAGAATATAGACATTCCACACAAGAATCTAAACTGCATATGTTTAACCCAGTCTCTCCTCTTCAATTCATTTTTTAAAATTGTTAATGTTTATAAAACATTTTTAATATATGTCCTAGTGAAAACCTGATACCGTAGAAAATACAAAGGCTTTTGAGCCAAACACTGCTCTTTAATTGTAGATTCATTATTTATTAGAGATGGGTATTTGGACAAGTCAGCTTCTTTTGGATTCAGATTCTTTCAACTATAAGATGAGTAATCAGGAGAACTTATCTCATGTTGTTCTGGGATCTGTGGTGGTGGGAAATGGGCACCAGTGGAGGGATGGGTATTTGATCATTGTATAATTGAAACCCAAGCACAAAAATGTGTAAGTCTGCAACTGTACCTCATGATGTCTCACTATTAAAAAAATTTTTATTAAAAAAATGGTGATTTCCTGATTCCATTTTATTATTTATCAGGAAATTATTGATGTATACATTAACTTTCTAGAAGCTACTATGATAACACCCTGATTGATAAAAATATCTGACCCAGACATTCAGATCTTTTCTTCATAAGGCATATACTGTAGAAAGGTCCTTGATAGGTAAACTAGACAGTAAGAAGAAAATGGTCTCTAGAAAAAAATATGAATATAATTCTGTACATAGACATCAAATTTGACTTACAGAAATGGGAGAAATCCCCCCAGATACACCTCCACCTCACCAAAGCACCAGCAAACCCTGTCCACACTTACACTTTTCAGTATAGAAATGACTCAGCTGCACAACTAATCTTGAAAAGAATGCCAAGCCACCAAATCTCCCACATCTTCCTGTCCAGACTGAGAACTCTGGGCTCTCTCAGAATGGGACCCAACCCCCAACCCCTGCATCAGAAGGACCTGTAATCTTCACCCACACCCAACATTTTCCAACATAGAACAGGCCCAGCTCCACAACTGAACCTCATCAAACCACCATGCAATAAAATTGTTCAACCTCCAAATTTCATAGTACTGACAGCCCAGTAGGACCACAGAAAATTTGATGGGAAAGTTATATAGAAGACCACTAAGCTCAGTGAGTGAAAACAATAACAGAGAAGGCTCAGTTGGCACCAACCAGTTCAGTAAATCCTCAGATAATAACTTTAGTAACACCACTGTAAGATATAACAATTACCACAAATTACCTCTTATTGGTCTAATTTCTGATAACTCCTCATTGCAACAAGCAATATAAAATTTTTTGTGCCTGATAAATGGGAAGACTTGGGCAGGGAAGGGAATGTCAGTATGTATAATCAAAATAATGAGCAGTGCAGACAAGTGTGCTGACACCACAGCTAACCTGTGCAACCTTAGAGAGCAAACACACATGTACCACCCCATCTATCCCAGCAATAACCCCCAGTATAAAGTAAATTATTAATGCAAGAGTAATTTTGTTTCACTGTGTGTTGTAACAAACAATATAAAGTAAACTATTTGGTACCTTAAACGGGACAAAATAAGGCTTCGGGGTGGGTGGGGAACTGGGGACATTGGTGGAGGGAAGGTCACACTGGTAATGTGATTGGAACATGGAATGACTGAAACAACTGTATTACGAACAACTTTGTAGACCGTGGTGTTTAAATAAGGTTTATAAAAAGATATAGGGGAAATTTTATAGGGTGAAAAAGGGCAAAAATATTTCAAATCAGGAAACTGGGAAATAGTATACCAGTTTATGTATATACCTAACATGTGTCCAACTTTGGTTTAATTCCCAGTACCATGTTATCCCCCAAGAATTGCCCTGGATGCCCCTCAAGCATCACTGGGTATGGCTTGGAGGTCCCAGTACCTCTGGGATTGGCCTCGTTATCCCTGTCAATACAAGGCCAGAACACCTGCACATTCTCAAACCCCTTTGTTGAACCATCTCTCAATTGGCCAAGAATGACTGCTTGGTCACCCAACCCACCCGAGTACTACTTGATAGCCAAACCTTGCTTAAATGAAGAACATGAGCTGAGAATAGCAAAGTGGTTGCAGTAGTTATGATCAAAATGTAGAGTAAATGAAAGGAGGTAGAGGAAATAAGGTTGGAAAGATAGTTACATATAAGAGTAGCAGAAAGAAACTGAGAGAATACATAATCATTTTACAGCCAAAAAGCATTAAGGTCAAAGACATAACCAATTTTCAGGGTTGGCTGTAAAAGTTGGGATGCCTAGCTACTGAAGGATGTACATGTCATGGATTTTTTTCCTTTTTTCTTTTTTGGCTAACTCCTGACTCCTATTGAAAGAACCTCTATGCCTCACATCATAAGCAAAATTTTCTAAAACTCGTCATTAAAGAGCACCTTTTTTGGTGGTGGTGACAGTCCAGGGGGCAGGGAGTGGGGTGGTCACTTTTTCTCAGAACCCAAGCAAATTTTTTCTACTCATTCTCTTTGAAGACTGCAACCAAGAGAAAGGTGGTGGATCATTAGCTCACTATGAATGTACTTCTCAAAACTTGCGCATTCACAGACTCAATTCATATATGTGTGCTAAACTTCTACTTCCAAATATTAAGCTGTTCACTTTACTTATTTCCCCTCAAAATACTGACCTATTCAGCAACCTTCATTTTTGTTGCATTCTCCAGTTCCAGGAGTGATGATATTTTTACATAAGACAGAGACATTTCTGTGCTATGATGGAAGTTTGAAGGAAGTTAGAGCCAACAATCTTTCACTTTGAAGACAAAGAAAAATAAGCACTTCTTTAGTCTTGTTTAGAATGGGGGCTCTAGAGGTAATCAAAAAGGCTATTTCTATATCTGGTATTGAATATGTGGTACCTGATACCTTATGTATGCAACGTATGTCTTATCTAGCATACCACACTCTGTTTTGATAAAGTTAATATGTTCTACCAAAATAAACATAGTTGTGACCACTCCTGACAATTTATTGGTGACTGTGGGATGTTTTATTTTATCACCTATACTTTGTTCTAGAGCATGGAGGGAAATCTCTTTCTAGGCTTGGGATTGAATTTCTAGTCAATCATTTCCCAAAACCTCCCATTCTCTTACCAATATTTGATATCATAGTAGATGTACAATGATACTCAATATTTGATGTCATAGTAAATGTCCAGTGATACTCAGGGTGTTTTCTTCCCCTCTAATTTCTTCCTAGGTGGGAAATTGGCAAGTGGAGTCAATGCAGTCTCACATGTGGGGTTGGTCTGCAAACCAGAGATGTCTTCTGCTCCCACCTAATCTCCAGAGAGATGAATGAAACTGTAATCCTGGCTGATGATCTATGTCGTCAGCCCAAGCCCAGCACTGTGCAAGCCTGTAACCGTTTCAACTGCCCCCCAGACTGGTACCCTGGACAATGGCAGCAGGTAGGTCCTCAATATAGAAGATTGTGTTTGCAGCCATGGTTCAGGACAGAGAAACACTCTTTTCACAAAATTTAATCCCATTGAAAATCTACCAAGGACTGTTCATCCCTTTTTTTCTTTGCATTCCCCCAACCTCTTCAAATTGAACTACTTTAATTAGAAATACTATACTCTTCTACCTTGCCATATCCAGTAACTTACAAAAGTAACTTACAAAAGTACAAATTATATCGATTATATAGCACAGTGGTAGGGCATTTGCTTTGCACACAGCCAGCCCAGTCGACCCACGTTCAATTCCTCTGCCCCTCTTGGAGAGCACAGCAAGCTACTGAGAGTATCTCGCCAGCATGCCAAAGCCTGGAAAGCTACCCGTGACGTATTTGGTATGCCAAACACAGTAACAACAAGTCTCACAATGTTACTGTGCCCACTCAAGCAAATTGATGAACAATGGAAGGACAGTGCCACAGTGCCTGTATTTACATATATCTTATAATCAAGATTCTGTGGACACACTGTATACACATATTGCACACATCTGTGCAAAGACTGAAGCAATCACCTGAGATCTCCTTTTCCCTTTGCTCAATACTATGATTATGTAGCCATTTCCCCATAAATCTTTTTAAAAATCAGGGTTATAATTCAAAGGGCTTATATTTCACTATATAAAAATATATGAGATAAGAGTCTTTCCTGGTAACATAAAGAAAGGAAAAGAATTTTAATGATAACTATAAATGCTTAGGAATTAAGTTTTTCATTTTCTAGGTTTAAACATACAGAAAATAATAACTTTCATTTCTATTAGAGAATTCTGGCAGAAAGAATCATTTGAATCATCAGTTGTATTCTATTGCAGTGAATAAAATAAAAATTCTCACAAATTGGAAACAATATTTAAAATAACCACAGGAAGAAAAAAATTAGTGTATTTCATAAAGAAAGGAACATTTGATCCCACCTTTAGAAGTAACAATAAATATAAGTGAAACAGATCAGAAGTCAGAATTTTAATATGTATTTTGCATTTTATTTATTAGTAGAACACTTTTTGGAATGTTTGCTCTGAATTTTAGTGAGTGTGTAACCCTGTTTTCACATAGTAACAATATTATTAAACCCAGAGATATATTGTATACCCTTTGATATTAGATGAACAAGGTAATTTAAATCCACAAAAAATCATTATGGCAGAAATTCTGTTCTCTTTTTAATAAGTCTATTTTGTAAGAAAGAGTTCAGTACCCTTTCCTTTGTTTTTTTGAGCTCTTATTCAGCTTGGCTCTGTTTTAACTTCTGTTATACACTAAGGATTGTCTCTCCCTATTGAACCTATCACACCTCATATAGCACAAATTACCACAAATTCCAAAGGTCTAATATCAAATTCACTACCATAACTCCTTGCCAGTTTCCAGCAGACCTAGTCACCTTTTACTGATCATTTAGCCTGTTCTCTAGTTAGAAACTGGTACTATCTCAGCCTCATTTGACCCTCATTCTCAAACACATGCCTTATTGATTCTTCCTCCTATTTTTCACTAAATCCCACTGTTCTTTTCTCTTACTTTCTAATCCTTCTCCCATTATTTTGGTTCCTGCCCTCACAGTGGACTAAATCACTACAAATAACCTTTCACTGACCTCCCTGTGTTGTCTCATCTAATTCTCATCTAGTGTGCCCCAACCTGGCATGGAATTTCCTTTACTACAGGCCCTCAATCAAGTCTTTCAAGTATTAATAAGTGCTATTACCCAAATGGGTGTAAGGTAAGCAACATAATTTTGACGTGTTTAACTGCCACACCTATTAATATCTCACAGACCAGTGATCTGTGGGACCCAGTGGCCTTTGCTGCCTGAACCACTTTCCTACAAACTGGGTCATGTTACCCCCAAATTGAAATGCTTTATGATAAATGATGGTCATGAGATTATGTATCAATTATGTCCAAGGCTTTTCACTGTCTGCCCTTCATCTTTTACAGTTTCATTTCCCACCTATCCTCCCCTTTCTGTTCTCTCCCTTCTACTCTACCTTCTAATGACTCTTCAGAGTTTCCGGGACATCCCATCTTTCTTTATATCTGGTTCTGTGCATTTTTGAGCTGACTCTGCCAGAACTCCTTATCACCTGACCAAGCCCTCCTATGTCATCTTTCTGTGAAGAACTTTCCCAACTCTCCACAAAGACTTGAACTACAGTCTCCTTGGTATTCCCTTTTTGTAAAACTGACCCTGTTTTATAGTAATTTTTCCTCTGCTAGACTTCATGTAGTAACCATACTGAGTGACAATGTTGTATTCCTCTTCAATTGCCAGTACCTAATATAGTGCCTGGTAATCAACTAGCACTCAGATGTTAATATTATAATAAAAGAGTGAATGAAGAATGAATTGAGTTAGAATTATGCACAGCACAGTATGTTAAAACAGGAAAGTTGATTATAGAAGCAATATAAACATCACTTATGTCCAACTCAATGACTTGAATTTCCAAGAAAATGAACTCAGTGCTGAATAACTTAAGATACCATGATGATGGAGAATACCATGCTAAGTGAAATGAGTCAGAAAGAGAAAGACAGACATAGAAGAACTGCACTCATTTGTGGAGTATAAAACAACATATGAGGCTGACACCTAAGGATAGTAGATACATGGGACAGGTAGATTGCTCCATAGCTGGAACCCTGCCTCATGAGCAAAGGGGAGAAGGCAGCTAGAATAGAGAAGGGATCACTAAGAAAATGATGCCTAGAGGAATTGGTCGAGATGGGAGATGTGTGCAGAAAGTAGATAAAGGACCAAACATGATGGCCTCTCAGTAGCTGTATAGCAAAACAATGCCCAAAAGTAGAGAGAGAGAGAGTATGGAGAAAATTGTCTGCCATGGAGGCAGGGGAGGGTGGGAAAAGGGGAGTATACCAGGGATATTGGTGGTGGGGAATGTGCAGTGGTGGAGGGATAGCTGTGTGATTATTGTGTGATTGTAACCCAAACATGAAAGCTTGTAACTATCTCACAGAGATTCAATAAAATTAAATAAATAAATAAATAAAAGATACCATGGTGAAATAAATAGTGTCACAACAGGCAGAATTAAGTGATTACAAGAAAAACTTTTAAAATGAGGATCACATAAATCATTGAATTTCTGTACAGAAGCAACTACTACTAAGTGTTTACTCTACATTTCTGACTTTTCATGCTAGATAAGCAATATAAATTCTTTTTTTTGTTATTTATTCCATCCATTTAAGATAGATAGATAGATAGACAGATTTATTTCACTCCAGCCATTCTCAGGGGACCATATCAGATGCCAGAGATCTAAACCAGGTCAACCACTCTACATGCTATACTACTGTTCTGGCGCCCCTCCTTGCATATATTTATTAATTTATTTATTTTTATTAATGAGACACCATGAGGTACAGTTGTAGACTTACAAATTTTTGTGCTTGGGTTTCAATTATACAATGATCAAATACCCATCCCTCCACCAGTGCCCATTTCCCACCATCACGGATCCCAGTGTCCCTCCCACCCCCCATCCCCCACATCCCACCCTGCCTCTGTGGCAGGGCATTCCCTTTTGTTCTCTCTCTCCTATTGGGTGTTGTGGTTTCCTTGCATATATTTAAAAACAACATCCCTTACCAGAATTTTACCTCTTTATATTATTGATTTTATTAATTCATAAAAACTATTAAATTTGGTTTATTAAACTTCTGTGCTTTTCCTCTTCAAAACTTTTCTTCTATGCATTTTTTCTCTCGGGTCCAAACTGTCAGTCTCACTGGGTAACCTCGCTGTGTTCAAATAGATGTCACAGACTTTGGGGCCTCTATTCACTTGCACATTTTATCACCTGCATTTTGGGATAAATTTACAAATCCATCTTTCCATTATTGTAAGCATTTCAGGGTAACTTTGAACAAAGATGAGGAAAGCATTTAAGACACAAAATGTTGACTGTATTTATTCAGCTAGGTGGTCATTGGCCATCTCTGGAAAGCCCAATAGAGCTCATAGTGCCTCTGCTGACTTACTCTTAGAAGCAGCTTCTGGCTAATGATTAAACAGTCATAAACAGTGGCTATTCATCCCATGGGCTGGATCTTTGTTTTACATCTTTTAAGAATCTGGACTTCTGGCTCTTTTCATTCAGACAATCAACAATTCTACACACTTTTAAGAAATGCATACTTTTCCCCCCAAATGCTCCTCTAGGCAGCAGGGAATAGCAATATAAATACTTTCCCTTTGCTCAACAGACACATCATCCTGCATGCATGCAGTGGGAAGAGAAAAAGAGCAGTCACATAAATGATGACTTCTTTTTATAAATGGATCATTCCAGGTCAAGTGAGAGAGGAGGTGACTCATTTGCCTTGAACTAAAGTAGTTATAAAAGCCCCTTTGAGCCAGACCTTCAGTGGTACCTTGGAAGTTTTTAGATGAATAGACCAAAAGGTGGAGAGCATTGTTCTTAGAGTGAATACCATGTTCAAAGACCTGAGCATAGTAAGCATCCATATGAACAGAGAATGTCAAATAATTCATTGTAGCAAAAGCACTGGCTGGCCCAAGGCAGGCTGGCCAAAAATGTGCCTGGGAAGCTTAATTTAAGTTAGAGTGTAAAGAACCTGAATGATGTCCTCAGGAGTATAGACTTTATCTTCTAGGTATTGAGATTTTCCTAAACCTTTACATGTAGATCAGTCTTCAAATCAGCAAGCTGAGTTTTCTGTTTTCTTTTTCTTACAACTGTTTAATAATCATATTGTCACAAATTTGGGGGCTCGGAAATCATTCTTTGATCTGAGGGTCTGTCCTTTATATCAGGACTTTCTGTAAAGTGATATTCCTGATATGTTGTTTGTTGGGGGGGCGGGGATACTCTGAAGTGTTGATGGATTATTCCTGGCTCTGCACTCAGGAATCACTCCTGGTAAGTTCTGGGGACCATATAGATTGCTGAGAATGGG